AATCAAAATGGATATATAGTTCCTTTATACAAAATAGATGCATATATATATATATATATCTCCAGTATGTAGCATAACAAGACAAACATGAAAAAGTCAATAACTTAAACTAGTATATCGCAAAATAAAAAGTCAAACAGTTTACAGTATTCTTTGAAGTAACTTAGTTTAGCTCTTGCAATTAATTGTATGAAAAATAAGATTAGCCCAAATAAGTGGCTATACAGCTTATCTTCATAAATAATACATTTATTGAGCAGGAAAAAGCTGCTTAAGAGATCAGATGTAAATTCCTGTCCCCTCTCACTGGTAATATCCACTAAGGAATGTGTGATATTGTAGCCCTGTAATGTCAGCATATTTCCAACAAGAACTTTCACAAAGGTGCTGCAAATGCATGCATGTGTTTAGTTGAAGTGATAAATATGCAAATAATATCCTGTTTGGACTATGCTACATTGGTATAGCATAATGGCAATATATTATTTATTATAGCATCATGATTCTGTTTTTCTGTATGCATTGACCCCCAGCATGATAACTTCAGATCAGTAGCCAAACTGCTTCATCAGATTCGTTCATACACCATTTGGTCAAATGTGTTAGAGGTCCGAAGAGGAAAAAACTAAACTAAGAACCAGTGCCAACATTTAAAATAAAAGAGGCACAATTTATACATCATATATTTTACACCGAGGATTGGCTTATGTTTCCTGATCTGACCTTCATCTAAGTCAAACAAAATGTATAAAAGGCAACTCCAGCCAAATTGTTTATTTTTTGGGGGATAGAGTGGGGAAGAGTTAGAACTTCTTTTCAGTTTTCGTTTGTGATCCCATCGGGTGATTTCCTTTCACTTCTTGTCCCTCTGCACACATAAGGTGTCTCTGGGACAGGAAGGATAAGCTGGTCAGCCAAAACCTATTTTCTTTGGTGTAAGTGAGGACGCTGAGGGACCACCCACAACCCTAAGCATCAGTGGGAAAAGGGGAGCACCGGCTGCCAGGGGGGAGGCAAGGGGTAAGGTAAGTAAAACAGATTTTTAATGGTACCCTAGACAGAAATAGGGATCAACCCTTACACTGCAGGGGGAAACCAATGCAACGGTTTTGAATTTTCCCCAAAGCTCAGCTTTAAGTGTACTCTCCCCAATGGCTCACAGAAAGCAATAAACATATGACAAAGAAAATGTAACCCTTGCCTCATTTTGGGCAACACAAAAAAAATTGCACATATAGAAACCAGTGTAAGACTGTGGCTTATTTCCCACTCTGAGAAGGCCAAATTTTGTACCAGCAAATATAATCATACTAATTGTTTTGACTGTTTATTGTACACATGGGACAACTAATATGAAATACAATCCAGTTTTGTGCACTGGTAGGTTGCAGAGATGGAATTAGGCACAATAGGGCCCTAGGCAAGTTAGGAGCATAGACTGCCATCCCTTCAATTGGAGTTAATACTGATTGCAGTAGGCACAAAAAAGCCATCCCATTTGCATCGGCTGCACTGGCATGCCCCACCCCCACCCCCCAACTGATCACAAGTGCATCCTTTCTTGGAAATGACAGGCAGGTGGACATCTTTGACCAATAGTGCCATCTCCCTTGTTTACTGCAGGAGAATGAAGGTTGTAGCTGGGTCCCCTAAACATCCACCAGGCCCTAGAATCCTAGCTAGGTTGCCTTGTGGATGATCCGGCTCTGGTAGTGGGTGCTGAATAATGTATTAGTCACGTCTAAAATACGGTATATTGAATGTTTCTTGCTGTTGAGCTAATTCCCAGGTCAGAAAGAAAAGAACTGTAGTTCACAGCTGACCATTTTCATTCCCATCCATCTTATTAACTGTTGTAGGCCTGATCATTAGTTGGCAGGCATCTCAGAGAGAACAAGAAGCGGAGGCATCTGCCTGTCATCTCAACTATGTTTCTAGATTTCCGAAAACAGATGAGCTGTACTTTCTGACATTACCGATGATAAAATGTGGGGCAAAGCTTGTACCCGATTATCATTAGAAAAGGAAATGACTAGCGTCCACATTTCTTCCGTTGGTTGCTTCTGTTGGCTGGGGAAGCTTATCATTACCCCTTAGAGTATAGTTCGTTTTTCCCCACGCATAACAAGCAATGCTAAGATCAGTTTCAGTCCACACTTGCTATTGGTTTTATGTCCCTTCTACAGTGATAATATCTAGGTTTTGAATGTTTATCTTAACATTTTTGTTACTAGTGATATACTTATTTTCCAACACTGACCAGCTATAATACAAAAACAATACAAAGTTATCATTTTCCTAATGCTAAAGGTGTGAACAAAGTCAACCAGTATTTAAAAGAGATATTCTGTTTATATTTGTATAATTTACATTGTAGTATTTGGGTATATAATTCTCCACAGTCTTCTGGCATAGTGCATAGTGCTGTGTAGGACAGGATCAGTTATATAGATTCAGTAGTGTGTCCCTGGAAAATATTGTAAATAGGTGGAAACTATGACTGGCCATCTGCTGATTTTAGAGTGTGCAGGGTTTTAAGAGAATTTCTGATGTAGGAAAGTGCACAGGAGGGGAGACCAGTCACATCTTACTGTTTGGGGGGGGGGGGGGGGGTAAGATTTTGTTTAACATAAAGCAAATTCATATTTTGCATTGCAACAGCATGACAAGAAAAGAAAAAAAAAAAAGGAAGGTTATCCTTTGAAATTAGCCAAAGCATACTCCTGTAGCTATGATTAAAAAATGCATAAGCCATGCACCAATACTCACAGTTAGGGCCAGGGGTTTCCAAACTAAGGCCCGTAGTTCAAATTTGGTCCGCTACTACATTTTATCTGGCCCATAGCAACCAACGTTGGCTGGCAATACTTGCACTGGTTTCTGTATTGTAATAGGAAACCAGTGCATCTACTGCTAGCCAGCCAGCCATTAACTTCCCCCAGTCCCCTGCACAAATTTCTACCCCAAACCCCTCTCTCTGCCATGGTTAGTTGCTACAACCACTGGCGTTTCAGCGACCAATGACCATGTCTGCTCCACCTCACAACTTCTGCCCTGCTGCTCTGCCACCTGCAAGGTAAGGGGGACTCTGCTGGGCACTCTTGGGTGTAATGGGGGACGTATTTATTTATGTTTTATACATTCATTTATAAAACTGATTTTTTTTCAGACCCGCAAATATTTGTAAAATATGCAGTGTGACCCTTGTACTGAAAGCTTTGGAAACCCCTGGCCTAGGAGCAGGTGGACTAGTGTCTCAACAATTCTGTTTCTTACATTCTAGTGCATGACCACATTTGTCTGTGACAACCAAGAGACTCTGAAGGAGAGGGCTACAAATCACCTCAATTAAACATGTCAATAAGTATCCATGAAATAGAAATTATGATTGATGCCATCACATTCATTGTCCAATTGTTTTGTTACTGTTAAAGTATATCTGAGAAGAGATATTTCAGAGCTACTATTGCAAACTTTTAATGCAGACTCCAGAGCTTCCATTCTGATCCTGACCTCTACTTAAAGCATCCATGACCTGGAAAGAATATGCAGCTAATGAAGACTGAAGCATCCGAACATTCATATTGGCATCCGTTTCAGGTTAGTGGCTCACTAGATACTAAATCTAGGAGCAGAACCAAAATCCTTAAAACAAAGTCAACAGTGACACATCCTATATGTTTATTTATTTGGCGCAAAGTGCTTTTAGGTGTTTGAGATATCTAGGTGTATTGTGTTCAGTTACTGACAAGCTAACGTATTAGTGTCAATTCATAAAGCTTCGGCATTATTTACCATACTTTTATTTTTTTTATGCGCCACACACACACACACACACACACACACACACACACACACACACATACATGCATACATACACACTACTCTCTGTTGCCAGTGCCATCACATTACCGGACAAAGGGCTAGGTTTCTATAAAAATAAATTAATTGAACAAATGAAAAAGAGTGCACTGTTTATTTTTATACAAATAACAGAATGCCCATATCCAACCGCTGTGTCACCAACTTCTAAGACAAATTTCAGAAAACAAACAGTTAAAAAGAATGGCTATAAGAAAGAAAATATTCTCTTTGTATAAAAAATAGCAGTTTGTAGTATCTACATTTGAATATCCAGAGTGAAACATGTGCAGGGCTAGTTAACATAACAAAGATCAATGTTTAAAGTGCGGTAATGCTTAGCAACCAATTAGCAATCTTTTCTTTTCCTTTTGTGGCTGATCAAAGTTAAAGTGTATTGAAATCAAAATGATATTATATTGCAGCTTACCAATTCTTAGATGTGGTGGATGTATTAGTTTTGGGGGGGGTTTTTTAGGCTTTTTGTTTTCATTTATTTTTCCCTGGTGATCCCGTTGGTAAGTCTGTTATTTTTCAACTTTACCAGACCAAGCTGTCCAGCAAAAGTGGTAGTTAGAGGGTTGAGACAAATCAGTTAACACTCACAGGGGTGCTTATGCTTACAATGGTCAGCTTTTATTCATTTTTTAAAACCTTCATCCCAAAAGGAAAAAAAACTGTTGCTATAACTGCTCACAAAATGTCTGCAGGAGGTGGAATTTAATTTGTAGTTAGGTTCATCTTAATTCATTAGTTCATCTAACACTACCCTCTCCACGGGATGACAATGCTGCTTTGCAAGGGTGGATCCATTACTCCTTTATACAGTGGAGCTACCCTAACACAGTAGGTGTATTAATGACTATCAATCACCATGTAAAAAAAACAAAAAACTAATACAGCCATCACATCTAAGGACTAGTAAGCTGCAATATATTACATTTTTGTTTTTGGGTTTAGATATGTTTCAATAAAAGGCACATTCTGACTGCTTGTAATTAAACAATCCACTTTGTGCGGTCTTATTAAACAAGCACAAACAATAATAATAAACTAGACGAGACTAGCCATTTTTGAAGGCACTACAGTTACTCCAGAATTCCTTCTTTAAGGGTTACGTTTTGTAACTCTTTAACTCTGCATATGTGATACATCTGAACTGAAAGCTCTATAGCATCTTAAGGCACACCAATAGCCGATGAAGGTTGTGTATTCATTCCTCTGCACATGTGCTGTCAAGCATTAGCTCTTTTGCTCTTGCAAATACTCAGGTTGTATATAGAACTGTAAGACCACAAGAAAAAAAAAAGATTATTTTACTCAAGGCTGCCAAGATGTCATACACAGTATACACCTAGAATGACATGAATCAAGGCCTACACAACCCAAGGACAATCTGAACTAACGTAAAAGCAATATACTGTAAGCAATGATATAAGGAACTAGCAGAGTTTACTAGGTTCCTCTACAATCTTTGTATTGAAGTTTTCAGCTTCCAATAAGCTGAGTTAATTTTGGTTTCTTTTGGTTAGATTTGGCCAGTAAATCTTCATGTAGCTTTGACAATTCCAAGAAGAATACGGCAAAAACTTTGGTCCCCTGGATGTAATTAGATCTAAAAATAAGAAACATAATATTCAGTAAATTTTCAAAGTAAAAAGTAAAGTTAGTCATTGAATTGTAATTCTAGTCTATAAATGCTGCAATTGTACTAAAGCTGCAATGTCCCGATAATTGCCCTGGTTGTTATGTTGGTGCAGAGGCTTGTGGAAACAGCTTTATGATGCATGAATGCCACACATTTTAGAGTCTTCACAGCTTTTATAGAATATCCCTCATAAAGTGTTTAAAGGAATGTTTGAAGTGTATCTTTAGCAAATACTTTCTTTGTATTATTTGTATAATGTATGGAGTGGATACACACCATGTCAGGCTTTTATTGCTGCCCCTACAGGAGGAAATAACCATCTCAGTTAGTTCTAGTGACCATTTTCACCAGGACAGAAAATGATAGGAAATCAAAAAAATTGACTGTTGTAGTCAGAACAGAAGGTCAGGGGAAATCTTCCAATGGGGACATCTGTTCTGGTAATACCTAAATACTATTTATTGCCAAAAGTATTGGGACACCCCTCCAAATAATTGGATTCAGGTGTCCAATCACCTCCATGGCCACAGGTGTATAAAATCAAGCACCTAGGCATCCAGACTGCTTCTACAAACATTTGTGAAATAATGAATCGCTCTCAGGAGCTCAGTGAATTCAAGCGTGGTACCATGATAGGTTGCCACCTGTGCAATAAGTCCATCCACAAAATGTCCTTGCTACTAAATATTCCACAGTCAACTGTTAGTGGTATTATAACAAAGTGGAAGCAACTGGGAACAGCAGCAACTCAGCCACGAAGTGGTAGGCCACGTAAAATGACAGAGTGGGGCCAAGGCATGCTGAAACGCACCTTGCACAGAAGTCGCCAACTGTCTTCAGAGTCAATAGCTACAGACCTTCAAACTTTGTGTGGCCTTCAGATTGGCATAACAACAGTGCGTAGAGAGAGCTCCATGGAATGGGTTTCCATGGCCGAGGAGTACAAGCTCCCAACTTTGTGGGAACAGTTTGGGGATGGCCTTTTCCTGTTCCAACATGACTGCGCACCAGTGCACAAAGCAAGGTCCATAAAGACATGGATTAGCGAGTTTGGGGTGGAGGAACTTGACTGGCCTGCACAGAGTCCTGACCTCAACCTGATAGAACACCTTTGGGATGAATTAGAGCGGAGACTGTAAGCCAGGCCTTCTCGTCCAGCAACAGTACCTGACCTCACAAATGCGCTTGTGGAAGAAAGGTCAAACATTCCCATATACACACTCCTAAACCTTGTGGACAGCCTTCCCAGAAGAGTTGAAGCTGTTATAGTTGCAAAGGGTGGGCCAACTCAATATTGAACCCTACGGACTAAGACTGGGATGCCATTAAAGTTGATGTGCGTGTAAAGGCAGGCGTCCCAATACTTTTGGCAATATAGTGTATGAGAGGATTTCTTCTTACTATAAAGACATGTTCATATATTTTCTGCTGTGCCTAAGGAATAAGAAAATGAAGGGAAATCTCCCTAATGAGACAGCAATAAAAAGCTGAAAGGGGTTTTAATCATTTACTTTGCTATTTAAGGGCCCATTCACACCAGAGTGTAGCTGACAAAGATATTATGGATACTCAGTTAGAGCACGCCTTTAATTTATATCAACCCTTAGCACACTTCAGTTTAACTTGTGTATTTCCCTCTTTGTATCCTTGGTTTGGGAACATGTGGTTTTGTTTAGGCTACATCTTGCCGATATTAATTATTCTGTGCCAAAGGCACATAGCTTTAGTTTTAAAACAACTTTCACATGATGTTGATTTCACAATATATCTAATACATACTTCAAAAAGTAGTTAACATCAAGAAACGCCTAGAATACATTATTAATGATTATGGGAATAAATATCAGTTGTTTATCCTAATAAAGTTGAAACTGCTATACAGATGCACTTGTGTCCACTTCAGTTTCTCTAGTATTATGCTATATGGGTACACCTTAACCTTTTCTTCTAGGATAGGTGTGGTATCATGATTAATTCTGTCTATGACAGTAGAACTGCTTTTTTTCACCGCAACACACAATATTGGGGTACAGCATGTTGCACTGTAACATACAGCTGCCGGGCCACTGTAACAAATGAATGGCAACACAACATAGCTAGCTCACTGTACCACACACTACATGTATGATAGCGTGCATAGTACAGCAACACTCTAGTGTGAATGGGCCCTAAAATAAACAAAAAAACTTTGGCTAGAGATACTGTATACTTTAAATCCTTTAACAAAATGGCTTTAATTTTCTTAATGGTACCTAAAACAACTAAGTTTTGTATCCTTTATAAAGTGTGTTTCACCTGCTTATTTTCTCATTTTGTGAATGTTCCCCATCATCTGCTCCACCAATTGGAAGCATCATTACTCTCTTTTTGGTTAGATCTTGGAAGATTCTGGCTAGTGGTATAGTTGAGCCATCCCTGATCATTTCTGGCATAACACCAAACACTGCAAAAAACAAGCAGAACAATATATATTATACTGTATAAGTATTACATAATTACATCAATTAACACAATACTTCAATGGTTACCTATTTGCACCTTAATATTTTGTTAATGATATCTCAGATTTATTTTGGATACCGTTATACCTAAATTGCTGATAATGGTGATATTTCCAGTCTGACTAATGTTAAAAGGAGAACTATGGGGTTAGGGCTTTTCCCTATTGTTCACTTAGGGTAATGGGAGGACACAAAATAGCGTCCTCCCGTCACCCTAAGCTCAGTATTCCGCTAGCTACAGCTCACGGTATACTGAGACGCCACAGCTGAAGCGGATCCCGACAATTATGTCTGGATCTGCCAAGCTGTGTGAGTGACAGCTGGCTCTGCCTATCCAGCTGTACCCGCCCCCACCCCTGTCTGTTCCGCCAGTCAGTGCTGGAGGATCGGAGCGGGGAATCCAGTCCCTCCCCTGTAACGGCAGAGACCCGTGATAGGATCGAGAAGCGAGCGAACACCGTTATGTGTTCGCTCACTTCCCGATCTACTGAGCCGACCTGTGACAGTTTCATTGTCACGGGTCGGGTAGAACTATGAGGATGAGTGAAAAGCACTCACCTCATAGTTCTCCTTTAAGGTGCGGTAACTAGGTTAAACTTAATTCCTGCCCTGGGGACCAGACACGTTTCCCCTCTTTTTATATTTCCAGGGAGTGGTTCCCTCACCTCCCCTGTATAGTTCTTCTGCCTCTGAAGCAATGTGAGAGCACCCCATTGCTGGAAGTGTTGCTGAGAAGTGTCCACATCACACAGGCAGTGGCCTTCACACCTGAAGAAGGACCCCAATAGATGTAAATAGAAGAGGAGAGGAGACTTGAGACCCGAATATCAAGGGATATTTTTTTCCTAGCGATCTAGATATGGGAGGGATTTTTGTTTAATTATGCCCAGAGTTGGGCTTTCAACATACAAAACTACTGTCTAAAAGCAAAAAGCTTTCCATCTTATTGCATTCTGTCCAGTGACAATACTCTCACTGGACTTTGGGGTGCCAGGTGGGCAAGGCTTGGCCTAGAAGTGGGGGAGGTCAAAGCTCTTAGTAGCAAAATGAAACCAAAATAATAAAAGGCAAAAAATGGAGTGGTTTCCCTCTAATTAAGGTAATTAGAGGCACCTAGTGTGCTCTTAGGCAAGGCTTTTTTAATTAAAAGAGAAGTAAAGGCCCACCAATTTAAACTGTCTGACCAAAAATGTTATTTTCAAAGGCATGCCTCTGGTAATAACTGTCAAGGTTGCCAGTGTACTTATTTCAGCTCTCAACTGAACTTTCAAGCCATCAAAAGGCTAAGATGGCACCTTGCTTGGTGGTAACAGATAGGAGGGTGCAGTTCCGTATATAATATACACATATAATCATACCAAGATCCCCATACACACTAAAGCCAGGTAAAAATATCTTCTAAAATTCACATTGAGCAGTATAAATCATAGTGTGCTCTGCTCACTTCAAATGAGCTCACTTTGAGCTGAACAGGATGGTGCAGAAAGTGTGACAGATGGCTTTGCCACTCTAGTGTGCCCAGAAACATATTGGGCACCATGCTTTCCACTGGGCAATGCATGGAGCACTATAACAAGTTACTTTTACACTATACAAACCACTTGCCCTTTGACATAGCTCTGTATTATTAAGAGCTCTGTTATAAGGCAGCTTTCTTTTTTTTTAGGTTTACTGGTGTTTTACCTAGATGCATAATAATAAAGGAGACAGAGGTGCATAAACAGTCAAAATATTGCAGCTTGGCAAGAAGGGGAATCAGAAATTGCATTCATGCCTCTACTTGTAATTAATCAAAGAAGATTACAAAATATTTGTGTTTTAAGAAAGTCAAATTAATTTGTATTGTATTAGAATGTTCACAGTTTATTAAACTAGGCCTATAATGAAATGTTAACACAAAGCCTTGTCAACAGTCTTGCTGAGATGGATAAATAAAGAGTAAACAGAAGCGGTGTCTTACAAAATAATGCTGCACCAGCTTCCCCGGAGTGCTAACCATATGCCTTGAGAGGATCAGAGTTCAGATTGGGTAAACCACTCATTCGGGATGAATCATGTGATCGAATGCCTAGGCCTTCAGACAGGTAACTAGCATCGGAGGGCGGCTAGAGCAGTATTTATTAAAGGAAAACTATTTCAATCTCTGTTACACTTTGTCTAATAAACATTATGTTAACATCTGAGCATAGGTCTGATTTAAAAGAAGCACACACATCTGCAACAACTGTGGCTGTTGTGTTGGTGCTTGGTGGGGTTTATGTTAAGTCGTATTTCTAGACAAAAGGATATATACAAGAAGTGTTTTCAATACCTTTAATCCAACAAGGGTTCCTCAACTGCGACAGAAGCATATAAAAGGTGCTGAACATCCTCTATGACAGCACAGCCTCATTTGGTGGGACTGTCCGTCATTTGGAACCAAATCCCTCTGTCCCTCTATTTAACTACCAAACATGTTATTCTGCACTTTGTCTTATCTCTTCATTATCTTGTTTGTTATTTAAAAAAGCCAGTATAAAGGAAAACTAATGGTGGAAAAAAAAACAACTCTGGGTTTAACCAACCAATCAATTTTGGCACATAAATACGTATTAGTCCGCATAATTGGGGACGTGGCAGAGGTGTGTCCATTATCTAAATACATTGTGCTGAGAGATGTCCCTCGTCCTCATCTCAGAAAGTTGGGAGGTATGGCACAGCTCTGAATTAAAGAAAGGCTGGTGTCAAAATGCTATATATACTAGCAATGCATTCCCACATACTGGTAATTTGATTGTTTACGACAGAGTGAAGGTGCCATGATATACATGAACACTGACCTTTTCGTATCGCCATCTTAGCTGCTTCATACTGAGGGTCATCAACATTCGCCACCCAAGGCATTGCTGCAATTTCTAACGAAACTTTTAGTTTATTTGGGCTATTTAATTTGTCAAATACTTCTTGAAGATACATTTTAACCTAGAAAAGAATAAAATATACACATCACCAGTAAGCTATATTTTATTTTAAACTATTTCTATCGTTGCTTCTTTTGGGACAGCAATGTGCATTTTTGGCCACTTGCAAAGCCATCCACAACTCTGCTCCCGGCTATATCTGCAACCTTATTTCAAAGTATCACCCTAACCATCCCCTCCACTCCTTTCAAGACCTCCCGCTCTCTAGCTCCCTCATCAACTCCCCCCATGCTCACCTTCCAGGACTTCTTTAGAGTCTCTCCCTTCCTTTGGAACTCCCTACCCCAATCTGTCCTATCTATCTCCTACAATCCCTAAAGACTCCTTTCTTCAGGGAAGCCTATCCTGCCTCAACCTAATCACTTTCTCAAACAATTCATCCCCACACAGCTACCACCTCTTGTATCACTTGCCCCTCCCTTGTACATTGTAAGCTCTCACGGGCAGGGCCCTTCTTTCCATCTTGTCTTGACTTGTATTGTAACTATAATGCCCTCCTTATATTGTAAAGCGCTGCACAAACTGTTGGCGCTATATAAATCTTGTATAATATAATAATTAAAATAATGGGAGCACCAGAAAAATTCTTGAAAGATATGTGTATCTGTGCATTTTTCAGGTGCTCCTATTTCAAAGTTTATGGGCACAAAAATGCAAATTCTGCTCCTGTACTATAAGTGGCATGTTAAAATGCTTGTATAAATGTGCACAGACATACCTCCAAAGCACCCTGCTATGCTCAATGCTTAGGTGTGAATGGGGTGTAAACCTGGAAGTGGATCGTTAAGCACACAAACTCACTGTCTAATGTGTATGTAAACCCCAACAATGAACTTCCCTTATTCGGTCACTCTTAAGTAGGCTGTACATGTATCAAATTTTGCCGGATCCTTCTGAACCAGACAAAATTTGCACAGTGGGTGCCGCTGTCAACACCCTGTCGCTCATTGTGGATCTGTAGTCCTCAGAGAACAATATCAGTGATGAAGGTCAGCACAGGAAGTTATCAGCTCACAAGACTTCCAGCAAGATCAGGTTGATTAGTTGATCCAGGGAGACGGTTGGAAAATTCTCTGCTGAACGGAGCTAGAAGCATATTTTGACGGGGGATTCATACATTAATGCTTGTAAGCATTGATGGAGGAATCTGTTATATTAAGAAAATATAACCATGTATACCCGGCTTTAGTCTGATCATTATACCATTTGAAAGTGTTTTTCTATATCTGTTTGATCAATTCAAAATACCTGTTATTCTTGCTGGAAGTCTTGTGAGCTGATAACTTCCTGTGCTGACCTTCATCACTGACATTGTTCTCTGGGGACTACAGAACCACATTCTTCTATGTTGTAGGCAATAGGAGAGGAGTGGGGTTATGTATATCATGTGTCTGCTGTCCTGATACAGAAGGGTGACTGATTGTTGTCATATTACGACTGGAAATGTGTTACTAGCAGAATCCTCAAGTAGAAATAAAGAAAACGTATGCAGTCACCACATCTAAGGACTGGTAAGCTGCAATACACTATAGTTTGGTTTTTTGTTTACAATATGCTTGAAGGAATGGCCGGTGAGGCTGAGTTCACATGAGCGCTGACTGCTCATGTGCCTTTTGCAGACTACAGTCCTGCTTACACGGCCTGCCAGGTAGTCCCTGCAAAGCGCTGTAGATATTAATGTAAACCCCACCTATGTTCCTCACTCACCTATCTGACATGACATGACGATCCTGAATGTACTGAGAATATAAATCTATTCTGAGTAATATGTAGCGTATTTGTTCAGCTGTGATTGAGCTTTTCAACTGCAAAGTTTATTACAGGAGCACAATTCAACACAAGAGACAGGAAACAGAGGTAAGTATGTAGTTTGGTTGTCTTTGATTAATACAGCACATTCAAACTGTAGTTTTTCAGCTAGCTAAATAAGTAAAAGAACAACAGATTTTGTAGTCGCATTCTATTTTTTTATTTTTATTTTAAAGAAACAACTGCCCGTGCAGGGCAATAACACTGCTTAATAATAGCCCCAGCATGGCATACACGGCCATATATGCTCCCTCACTGTCTCCCCACTGCAGGAGTCTACCCTAAGTAGGTCCAAGTGTCAGAAGACACCCAAAACGTGACCATTGGTCGCTAAGGTCTGACCTCCACATATTCTTCCCACATGTGGAGGAACAGAGCAGGGAGGTGGCAAGGAAATGTCAATGGGTGAGTATATGGCAGAGCGGTTGGGGTATCTGGAGGCACTGTCACTTTTCCCTGAATGGGCATCTGGTGTGCATCTGAATCAAGGGGAAGTTGGGTACTTTAGGTTTGGTGGGGCGGGGGAGCAAAAAGGTTATGTGCACTTAGTTTACTGCAAAGTCTTTTATTAGTTTGTTTTTTTGTACAGAAAATAATAAGTATATAAATAACAACATGTATACACAAACACTAATAGTTTGACAGTGCATTGAGCCTTTGAAGCTAAACTCTATGCAGATATAAAATACATAAATGAATGCAGCCCTGAGATCATGAATACATAATTACTGTAAATGTCAGCAGAGTAAGTACCTGGATTTGACAGGATTGCCGCCTCTGGAGTGTGAGAGGGAGAAGCAGTACAAAGAACCAATCAGTGCATGCAATGAAAAGAAGAATGCTAAAGATCATCTTGCACTGCTTCTCCTTTCACTGTCCATTAGGAGGCAAGGGCATAGCGGTCCAGGATAATCTGGACTCAGAGGAAGCAGCTTGACTGAGGACATTCGCATGTGCACAAGAGTTACATCTTCCATGGCACTCAGCCTATTCACAGCATCCTTGAGATATAAATACACTGCACAGTGCATGTGCCATACAGTGTACACAAGTGATTAAAAAAATCATTTGGGGAGAGAAAGAGCATTTATTTGGCATAAGATACTTTGCCAAAAATATCTTAGCAATGTTTTATTTTTTCCCCTTTACTTGCACTTTAGGGAAGACAAAATTATATTATGGAATTTGGGGCATACATTTATCTATACATATACATATGCTATTAATACTAAAAACTTCACCATAGAGACAGAGAGAGCTTAGATGCATTTACCAAACATCTGAAAAGTAGGTTGTGGGAATTCTTGCCAGAAGGACTGTGGAATCCTGCTGTTTATGAGCAGTTTTTAAAATGCCCTAATTCTTTAGTGCTACTTGAGGCTTCATTTGATGGAAAGTAGAACATTAACGTTTGCAATCATGGGAATGACCTATACTGTTTCTTCACTTGCCCTAGAAATGTTACTGTCGTGTATTTTAGGCACATGGCTTGGTAAAAATAGGATTATCAACACTTTGGAGTCTGTTTTTTTTTACCTTAGATTCAAACATTTATTAGATTCACATAGGAAAATGTGTGAATCTTGGGAAAGGGCTTTGTGAATCTCACATTCATAAACAGATCCCATCCCAGGAAAAATAACTGCTTCTGAATTTTTCATGATATTTTGAAGGCTGAGACAAGTTTATGCTTGCACAAAGCTTGAGGACCCATTTACATCTTTGCAGTGCGCTTATGTTCTTGATGATGCTCGTTAACATGTATTGCGTTAAGGCAGTCTATTCATTCCAATAGGCTTCACAATGCACCAAACATGGTGCATGCATTATTTTTAGCAATGCAGACCACCACAATGCAAAGTAGTGCTTTAACATGTGCTGCCGCATGTTACTGCAGTGCAAGTGAACGAATCTGGCCTTAAACAGCAGTGCTTGAGAATATGTGACACCATGTAAGCTTGGATTTTAATTAGCACACAAAATTCGATATTGGTATACATTTTTTCCTAATATATACAGTATATATACTTGAGGCATTGAAATATATTTTTAATTGAGGCATAGTGTATACATTTTAACTAATTAAGAGAAAATGACTAGGGATGCACAGATATATCAGCCGCCGAAACATATCGGCCGGAAATGGCACTTTTGGCTAAATGCCAAAAGTGCCATTTTCCTGCCTATACATCGGCGCATCCTTGCTTTCTCTCCTCCGCCCTGGGCACTGCTCTGTGTCCCAGCAGGAAGGAGAGAAAGTGACAGCCGTCCGAGCGCTGTGAGAGGAGAGCGATGTGAGCGGCCGGTGTCTCCTCCCACACCGCTCGGCCGCCTATCACAGTGCGGCAGAGCGGTGTGGGGGCGGAGACAGCGCTGTGGCAGTGTGTGTCAGAGAGGAGAGCAAGGTACAAAACACTCAGTGATCGCTGAGTGTTTGTACATAATTGAGGATATGGTATGGTTAATATATCCTCAATTATGAATGAATGGGAGTGAACTACATCTCCTCCTGTTCATTCATAGTTGTAGTTATAGTAAACAAACCATGTTCTCATGGTGCACCTCTAAAAATGACCTTGAAAATTGGAAACATACAATATAACTAGGAATGCACCAATACCAAGTACCGTACAAGTACACGTACATATACTTTTCAAGTCTAGCCTAGAGAAAAATTCAGAAGTTAGGAGGCAGCTGTCATTTGTAAGGAGCATACGGAGCTCCTGGGATTTGTACATCTCTGTTTTATTGTATGATTTTCTTTTAATAAATATATATAAGTGATGCACCCATACCAGTTTTGCAAGTACAAGTACTGATACTTGCCCAAGTACTTACAAGTACAAGTACTGATAAATTTTTGTTTATTGCCATGTGACAGTTTCTCTAAAAACAATACAGACTAATGATTTCAGGACAGTGGTGGAGCGCCAGAGCCAGGTCCCAGCTGCAACCTTGGTAGTTCTCATGAAAATGCCAACTATCGGCACTGGTATTTGCACATCCCTAAATATAATATTGACTATTTTAATATTTCAGGCCCCCTCCATCTTAAACTTAAGTGGTATTCATCAGAAAGGATTATTGTATGTTATGGTGGTGCTGTAAGATTTGGTGGTGAGCAGATTTCACCACCAGATGGAGCTTTATGTCTGTATCTGCAGCTCTCTGTTTTTAGAAAACTCAGGATCTACAATAATGGCTTTCCCTTTGATTTCAGTGTGGAGGGTTCAAAAGCAGATGAGGTTTGAAATTTTCCATGAAATCTCCTTTTAATAATTCTTGTTGTAAAAAAGATCTTTCAATTTAAAGGAGAACTATGAGGTGAGTGCTTTCCACTCACCTCATAGTTCTAGCCGACCTGTGACAATGAGACTGTCACAGGTCGGCTCAGTAGATCGGGAGGTAAGTGAACACATACCGGCGTTCGCTCACCTCTCGATTCTGTCACGGCTCTCTGCCGTGACAGGGGAGGGGCTGGATTCCCCCCTCCCCGCTCCGATCTGCCAGCGCTGACTGGTGGAACGGACGGGGGAGGGGGCGGGTACAGCTGGCTCTGCCTCTAGATAGGCAGAGCCAGCTGTCAGTCACGCAGCTGGGCGGATCCAGACGTAATTGTCGGGATCCGCTTCAGCTGCGGCGTCTTAGTATAACACAAGCAGCAGCTCGCGGTATGCTGCGGCGTCTCAGTATACCGCGAGCTACAGCTAGCAGTATACTGAGCCTAGGGTGCCGGGAGGACGCTAGTTTGTGTCCTCTCGTTACCCTAAGGAGAACTATGGGCAAAAGTCTTAACCCCCTAGTTCTCCTTTAATTACAGTTTTTTACAGGCCTAAACTTTTAGGTCAATGCCAATTTTAATGCATCTTTACCTTAGCCACTCCTTTCTGCACCCTTACCAAATGGGTGAATTATTAACTTAGTTTGTACATTTACTGTGTGAAAATAGTATTTACCCAAAATGAGTTTCTCCTTATTTCCAAGGCAGCATTGCATTAAGGCTCAGTCCACAGTTAGAGTAATACATTGGGAATGCATTTTTACTCTCTGCTATTGTGCTTCCGCCTGTGGCCACTACATGTATTATTACCATTAATACATTACCAGGTTCGAGCTGTGCAAGGCCCTGCTGGTGCCCCGTAATTTGCTAAAAGTCAATTATTTTAATCGACTTTTGTCGAAAGAGTCAGACAGACAATTTTCTCTTCTTGGGTCCCTGTATGGTAATAATTTTACTAATTGGGTCCTTAGATTACAGAATTTAGGTGCCTCTGTTCTATGTGAAAGTTTTCGGTCATTCTTACCTGCTTTTCCACGACAGGGATTTCCATATTTGGAGCTTGCCGAATTGAGAATTTGCCAATCACTTTTGAAGGAATTACAGTTTTGGTCCCAGTTCCAGCAAATGCTCCCTCTATGCCATGAATGGAAAGGCTCGGGTATCGCCACATGTGCTGAAGAATTTCTTCCTGTAAAATAAGCAACAGCACATGATAAAAAAAGCAAGATGGCCATACACTATACAATCCAAATATGTGTGCATTTATTTTAGGTGGACATTTTGTACTACTGATATTTTTGCACATTTTGCACAGACTGCACCGCAAACATTTCATAATTTTTTAATATAGATTTTGGCACTGAACATATTTATATTTATTTTTATATTATTAGATGATGTTTAAGATAATTAGTTCATAGACACACAATTGTGTTTTTAGCACTGCACTATATAGAATCAGTCCTTAAAATTGTGTTGAGCAGTCAGACTGGACCAGCATATCCAGCTGCCATACAAAGTCTTCAGCTAAATTTTCAATAAACAGTGTCCTTTTTAGGAATATTGGTATTAATTTGTATGCAATAAGAATATCTGTTATTTAGTCACATACACCATAGATGTGTGTTCTCACAAAGCAGTGCTCACATACCATAGCTCCCTTGCTGGCCTAACTAGAAAATAAAATTCAGCAGTAAATACAGGGCCAGAAACATCGCAAATCCATATAGGTAAGTGGAAGCCTCTTAGCCTGCTACTGGTGACGTGTGTGACATTGACTTAGGGCTGGGCCTGCACAGGCAATTTTTACTTTCAAAGACTAATATATTCTCCTAGGGCAAACAAAATCACTATTTTGTGCTACTACAGGAGATTGTTGAGTGAGTGTAAAGAGAATTGTTTCATGAGATGTGCGGAGCATAATGGCTCACTGTAACTGTGGGACATTTCTTATTTAGCAGTTTGCAATAAAAGCAATGCACGGAGATCAATCTCATGGGATTAAAGAAGTATGTAAAGGTGACTTGTATAGCCCTGGCCTGGCAGTGTATTTTTCCCTAGTAGAATCATGTTAAAGCTTAACTCCCGGCACAGTAATCCTCATAGCACCCTACAACATTTGTTTCCACACTACAGAACCTGTAATTTACACAAATACTAGAAAACATTTTTGAACATATGCACTAATTATCCAGTAAGGTCCCATTTCCTGTCTTGACAACCAGTCGTTTACCCTCAATGAACTTGCTTTGCAGATGACCCCTTATGGGCCATTTTTCTGCTCAGTCATATCCTTGCCTAATGAATGGAATGTGTATAGCAGGGGTGGGCGACTCCAGCCCTCCAGCTGTTGTGGAACTACAAGTCCCATGAGGCACAGCAAAACTGACAGTTACTGGCATGACTCCCAGAGGCATGTTGAGATTTGTAGTTAAAGCACAGCTGGAGGGCTGGAGACACTATAGAGCTTCCACTGCAGAGCAATGCAAACAGGGCACATTAGTGCTGCCATGGAAATTTGCCACTAGAATGACATTATTTAAACAGTAAAGACTCACAGGAGGGTCATTTTAAGGCAGATTTTCATGTAGGTGGCGGCACTTTATTGAGTATTAAATATGAAAATCGTGCTAGGGGACACCCAAGGAAGCCTATCAGTTGCATTTTTTGGTATGGACTAGAGTTAAGCAATTTTCGAAGAACTGTATTCTGTGGACATATGCAGCTCACATCATCTCAAACTGGTTTCTTGAACATGACAATAAGTTCACTGTACTCTAGTGGTCTCCATAGTTACCAGATCCAATCCGATAGAGCACCTTTGGGAGATTCGCATCATGGATGTGCATATGACAAATCTGCAGCAACTGCGTGATGCTATCATGTCAATATGGACCAAAAGCTCTGAGGAATGTTTCCAACACAGTGTTGATTCTATGCCAAGAAGAATTAAGACAATTCTGAAGGCAAAGGCGGTCCAACCCGGTACTAGCAAGGTGTACCTAATAAAGTGGCCGGTGAGTGTACATGTACTAATTTTTGCTGTAAACTATGGTGCCAGGCTCTTCCCTGCATAGACATGGGGACAGTAAAGAATTGTACAAACATTTTCAACCCAATCGATTAACCATTCAGATCTCCGTAATCTAAGCTGCTAGCCCATATTCAAGAAATTGCAGAAATCTAATGTCTACAAGTCCTGTGAGATGATGAAGTTTAGAACAGAGAATTGGTATGGCAGTGAAATAATGAATGTAAGGAGTAATTCATGAGCTGTCTGGGGTGAAAATAGTAAGTAACGAAAGGCTTTTACCTTAGTGCTGTACAAAAATGTGTTCACTTCTGTGTTGTTTTTGTGTTCTTCTATATCAAAATCTATATTTTCATACAACTTTTTCTCTTCATCTGTTATTGGAGGAACATAGTCATAAATTCCAGGGATAAGGATACGACCAGTAGAGTCCACAAGGCTTGCTATGTAAAAAAGGGTGCACAATTAAAGTCATTACTAAACTTGAGACTTATTTTGCATACAAAAACTTCTCATTGAAGTAATACGGTACCTGTAATTGATGATCTGCGTTCTAAAAATTGCCTGCCTATCATGATGAACATCTGGGTTCAAAACCTTCAGAGTCATTTTACCGAAACAAGTTTATAGATCAGGTGTTTTGGTTTTTCTGGCTGTTAACATGTTTCAGGTGTGTGATTCTTAAAGTATTCAATCTCGAAAACCTGCATGGCAGTCTAGCAACTTTCAGAAGTATATCCGCAATGTCAGACTCTATTTCTGTCATGACAGATTTTCACTAGAAAGGACCCTTTCTAAAGAAAATCTTTGGTGGTTGCTGCGGTCTTTTAGAGAGATTTGGTGGTTGCTGCGGTCTTTTAGGAGTTATGCAAGTGGCAATAAAAAACACTTCTGGTGCTTGGAAGCACTCATTATCTCTTGTAGAGAAATATCGGTATCAAGAAAAATAATTTTTTCATTAAGAAGGAAATAAATAGACTGCACATGCATTACATCTGTCTATAGGGCCAGTCACCAAACACTAAACAGCTGCCATTTGTTTCTTCCGAATTGAAAAAATCATACAAATTTCTGTAAATTTGGACATTCGGATGCATCCAAATTTCTGAATGACAGAAATAACAAATCCAAATGTTTCATAATAAAATTTGGATATATTCAAATTTTATTTAGAACAAAACGCAGAAGCAGGAGAGCTATCATTTATAGCTCTCTGGTTTCTCTGCACTTTGTTGACATGCTGGACTTGTATCCCAAATGAAAACAAAGTAACAGAATAGTTACAAAATGTAACGAAAGAAAGAAGCTGAGAGCTATATGTTATTCTGTAACAGCTGCTGCTTCTTTGCTGACAAAGAATCTGAAAGCTGTCTCAGAATACACAAGTGTTAAAAAGTCCACAGAAACAATCATTTAAAAAAATAGCGTGGGGTCCCCCCCATTTCATACCAGACCCTGTATGTCTGGTAAGCAGTAGCCCCCAATGTAAAGAAAAACATGGAAAAGCACCTTGTCCCCATGCCGATGAGACCCTGTCCCGGTTGTGGGGGTCTGCAGGCAGGGGTTCTCATCTGCATCTGGGTACCCCCTTTCATAGAGACCCCCCTTGTGAATTTGTAAGGGGTTAAATAAAATGTAAATAAAAACACAACACCTTTGAAAACAAAACATTTAATTAAACAAAAAACACATTTTTTTCAAAAAAAATGTCACACAATGTCAATGCCGACCTCCACCAACCGGCAAAAAAAACCTGCGGCTGCCTGCCCGATTTCTCACTCAGGTCCGCTCCCCTGCTGATTGACAGAAGTCAGGGGTGGAGCAATAGCCAGTCTGCTACTGCAATTTAAAAAAGCCAATAGCAGAATGGCTGCCGCCCACTGCCTTCTGTCAGTTACTGTCACTTTTCTGCAACAAATTTTCTTTCATAGTTATCAAATTCATCTGAATGCCAAAACAAATTGACTGTCAGACCCGAATCCCGAAAAACTACATGATAAAACATCCAAAACAAAACAAATGTTTTTGTCTGCTTACATGTCTACAAAACATTTTACTGTGCGTATGATAAGACATTATCAGGGAGTCAATTTATGGTCATCGTTCTCTGTAACATCACAAACACATCAATACATATGTAGGCCTTCCCAAAGAGGCAGTAGGTTAATCAGTGCTTCAAATCCAGGACTGGGCATTTGGGAAAGAAGATCAAATTTGGATTGTACCCATCACCTCTGAATCCCTAAACTATGTTGTGGATACAGACTCCAAAGAACTCCTATCAATAAAAGATAAAAGAGCTAATAAAAAATAATTACCCGCAATATTACTGATGAAGCTCTCTGAAACCCCAGGAACTATCTCCATATAGTCCCAATGTAGTCCTGAGTATAGCCATGTATTATAGCCTTGTACAACTCAAAATCCTATCCTGTGTTGTAGCCAGAAGTTTTCTGTATTCTAGGTGCAAGGAGCTTATTTACAACAACTTCACAAAACATTATCTTTCCAATAAAAAAAGTAATGATTAGGGATACACCAATACCAGTTTTTCTGTATAGAGTACCAATAATTTTTTTTCAGTACTCGCCGATACCGAATACCGGAAGTCCTATAAGGGAGGCCGGGTGGCATGGAATGACTCGCCTCCCAGGTTGCAGATACCGGAGCTTCCGCTAAGCTCCATGCTCCCTCGTCACCAGGAAGCCGGGCGGCGTGTAATGACTCGCCTCCCAGGTTGCAGATACCGGAGCTTCCGCTATCGGGATAAGTATCGGTGCATCCCTAGTAATGTAAGATTATACCTGGCCATTTGGGTGATTCTGTGCATGTGCGTGGCTCTGTCTTCCGTATTTGCGGAAAACATACACTAATGCGCATGCAACGTAACATACGCGCAAAGATGTGCTACCACTGCACGTAGGCTATGACGCAACTCCCCTTGATAGATGGCTCTATTTAAACCTGACTGTTCTGTGGATCATTGCTAAATGGTCTTTCAGCTTGTGTGTGTGTTCCTGTGATTCTGCCTGTTCCTGTGTTCTGCTGCCTTGACCCGGATTTCTATTGACTACGCCTGATGGCTGCCTGCCCCTGACCTCTGCTTGTTCCTGGACTATTCTTCTGCCTGCTGCTCTTGTACTTCGCTGCCCGATTGGTGTTGACCCTGGCCTGCCTGACTTCGTCCTGCTCCTGCAGTGTTCCTTGCTGTCCTTCCGGCTGCATCCTTGCCTGCTTCCTTGGAAACCAGCTTTTGGACTTGGCACAGTGTCCTACAGCCTCTGGCACCTGTGCTGCTCTCTGTCCCCTCACTCCCTGTCTCCACTCTCAGGGTGTGGGACAAGAGTTGCAAAGGAGGCCCCCTCAACTATTAGGTCCTCTACCAGGTACGTGATAAGTAATGATGATCAGCTGTCATGAAGAACTGCTCTAAAGTTTTTGCTTCAGTTTTTGTAAATTAACCATGCAGAACTAGAAATTTGGGTTACATGACCTGGATACCTAACTGCAGTGACGTCTCATGTCATCTCATGCCTAGAAGAAACACCTGGAAATAATGAGCTTTTATATTTTCTAAAATGGCAGGATATTCAGTTAGCAGAATTGCATGGATTTAAAAATGTTAGGCCATAAGTGTTGCGACCCTGCCTTCTGCAGTTGTTTCACTATTAAATTGTGATGACAAGGCCTGAGTCTCAGCCATGTGCCTAACTTAGGGATAATTTAGGGCTGGAGCTTATACTTTATGGAAGTTGAGCTGGAGAAGGATCTTTATGCTAGACGGTGTTGCAGAGGAGCTGCTGTCTGGACATTGTAAGAAGGATTAATTGTTCCGGTACCATTCACAGAGGAACAGAAGCCAGTTATTGCATTACAAGAGCTATAACTGCTCTTACAGGGTCACAGAGTTTCCTGGCTGTACTCTGTTCAAGGATCTATTTTTGGTTGCTCTCATAGGACCCGATGCTATTACTGATGCTATTGGAGAAGATACTGTTCTCTATTTAGTGCTTTCGGGTATCCTGCAACTCTAAACCCTCTCTTCTAAGTTTTATACCACTGAGCAATAAATCTTTAAAACACCCTGAGACTTGAGCCTGTTCATTATAAGAAGAGTTGGTGTTGCTGGAGCTGAAAACTGGGTAGGAGCTCCCAAAATTACCAACAGCTTTGGGGTGATTGCTATATATGGCTACTGTATAGTTCATAAAATGGAAAGACATGTCACAAATATTCTGCATTCCACCATAAATATCTTAGCGTGTAGTTTACAAAGTACTGTGTATCTTACCTAAGAGATATACTAGGTCCCTCATTGATTCATGGATGATACCTCCAAAAGTTCCTGAGTGCAAGTCCTTTTTACCACTTTCGACCTAATATAGAATAAATCACAAATAAGCTATGTGATTCAAAATGCAATCTCTGTTCAGAGTTATAATCTTTAGAAAATGTATACAATTAAGCTAAATTATGTATAGATTTTTCCAAAGGTGAACCACCATGCTACTCATCTGGGGAAAGAGGACAGTTAAAGCTTAGTTTAATTTGACAGTGGTCAAAGTATCAAAGTTTTTTTTCAATATTGCATCCAGATCAAACAACTATACATTTCCCAGCAAGGCATATCTCTACAATTTTGCCCAGTCACTTACAGTCATCGTGTTTCCGAACAGCTGGCTCTTACTCTCTCAGCTTCTTTCACTTCCCTAAACTTCCTGTCCAGTACATGATCACAAGGGGCAGAACAGACTACAGCAGCCATCTACTAGCTTGGAGAAGGAAAAAGAAAAGAGGGAGGAAAAGGAACGAGGAGAGGGAAGCAGGGGCTAACCTTGCTGTGCTTGTGTGTTTGTGCAGACACACATAGCTTACTAGCACATACAAGGGTGGCTCCATAAGACCCTGCAGGGGAAATAAGTCACCCTAAAACACGATATCAGGACCAATGCTCAGGGTACCAGCTGATTCTGTAGCTACCTACTAAAACTTTTAAACATCAAAACGCACCATCCATTGTAAGTGTTTATTTTAATTAGTTACCTACTTTGTCAACCCTTTTTCTGCTCATCCTCTCTGCTTTGTCAAAGTCAACACAAATTGCCATAAGCTTGTAAAACACTGACAAGGCAGACAAAGACAATGGCCAATTCTTCTCCCCCTGACAAGGTGAAACAGAACCACATATGGAATCTATATGACACAATACTGGTTTCTGACTCATGGTGGCAAACTAGAAGGCAGACTCCTTTCAGTTTTTTAACAGAACTGCTTCACACTGCAGGATTGGGCAACATTTGACAGAGACAGAGAGGTTGTAGTATCTTCTAAAACATTATTACTTCTTTTTAACCACTTCCTGGCCAGAGCAATTTCTTACTTTTTGCACACACACAATACAAGTCTGATTTTGTTTGGCTAGAAAACAGCTTTAGACCCCAAAACAATGATATATTTTCTGAAAGCAGAGGCCCTGTAGAATAAAAAAAAATGCTAGTTGCAATTTTTTATGTTGCACAGTATTTGCGCAAATGTTTATCAAACCAGGGGTCACATCGGTAAATAGATACCAAACATGTCAAGCCTTAAAATTGCGAGCGTGAGTCTGTGAAACCGCAAAAAAAGCTACAATACCCAAAATTTCCCATAGGCGCCGCTTTAAAAGCTTTTACTGCTCATCAGTTTAGTGCTACCAGTGATTGATGCCCCTAAAAGTATTGCTCTCACTTCGATATGTAATAGTGTGGCACAATTTTTGTTTTTGCATGTAGGCACACCTGACACGTGTTTGCGTTTTATGTGCGTCCATGTGGGGGGGCGGGGGACTTAAAAATGTTTCTTTTTTTATCTGTTACTTTTATTTTTTAATAAAAAAAATTTTTTACACTCAAATGTATTGCTTTCAGATAGGGAGCAAAGAAGGCCCCTATGTAACAGCAAATATAATGTGAGAGGTCCTCTTTATGGAGACATTAGGGGTCCTTCGGACTCCTAATGTCACCTAGGAACCACAAAGAAGCTGAGGAAGCAGAGATCTCCTTCCCCAGATTCTTATCCTGGCTCTAGGAGCCGGAAAATGTACACAGTGACACTGAAAGTTATGTAATACACATCACTTCCGGGTCCAGTGATCAGAGGAGAGATAGTTCCCCCCCCAAAAAAATGTAAAGCTACACATAAAAAAGAATAAACATTTTTTTAAAGTCCCCACCCATACATACACGCATGCAAACATGCGTTTGGGTGGCGCATACGTTCAAAAAAGACGATTGAGTGAGAGCAATAAGTCTAGGGCCATCAATCACTGATAACCCTAAACTGATGAGCGGTAAAAGCTTTTAATAAAAAACCCAGTGGTGTTTAAATACCACCAAAATAAAGCTCTATCTGTCCCCAAAAAAATGGTATAAAATTCATTTCAGTACAGCGTTGCATGACGGAATAAATGTCAGTCAAAGTACTGCAGCGCTGAATACTGAAAAATGGCCTGGCCAGGAAGGGGGTCTAAACACCTGGTCTTGAAGTGGTTAAAATGATAGCTGCTTCAGGACAGAATGCTTGGCATAGCTGCTTCAGGACAGAATGTTTTTTTTACAATGGGTCCTGAAGCGGTTACAAAAACAAAGACTTGAATAACTGGAAAAGTCACTTTGAATTATGAAACAAGCTAAAATCTCACTTGCTTAAAGTACAAAAGGGATTCTTACCTCTACAAAGAAATAAGCATTGCCCCTTGTTCCATATGTCAAGGCAGGTTTTCTGCCGAGCCACACGTTGTCAGAAATAACAATGTAGTCCACATCAGAGAAGAACTCCTTATGTTGCTTTAATAATTCTTCCAAACCAGGGGAGCCAGTTTCCTCCACCCCTTCTATAATGAACTTCAGGTTTACTGGGATGTCCTAGAAAAACCATACATTGGATATTACAAATAAATATACACGTTACATATGCCTTATGTATTTTTACAACTAAAATATGATAATGTCCAGCTGTCAACCTCAGGGTCACATGTGCAGTAAGTGCAAAAATGACGAACTTCAGATTAATAAAGAACACCATTTAAAGGAGAACTGTGGGGTCAGTGTTTTTCCCCATAGTTCTCCTTAGGGTAACGGGAGGACACACACTAGCGTCCTCCCGTCACCCTAAGCTCAATATTTCGTATTTTATTTATTTAATGTATTAGTTGAATGTATTAATTTAAAATACATTACACTTATGTTCACATATAACTAGAATATGTAATTTATTGGTATTGATATCAGCCTCCAGTAATCACCAACCATGTCAGCCAATTACACTTTTTACAATGCTGCCAGGATATATATGATAATGTTTAATTGTTTAGACGTTGCGTTGTAGTTTAGAAGGCAGTTAGTTGTGACACAAGGAAGTGCATCTTCACAGGGCTGTGTCGCTGCATTGAGGAAGTACATCGTATGGGCATCTTCAAAAACTATTTACAAATTTCTAGACCAATATGGTTATTAGGCAAAATATCTATTTTTAGTTTTTGCCCTCTACAACAAAGGGTGTGCAAAGTCTTCAGCGTTTGTTTTCTTGAAAAATCAGCTCCAGCCTGAGTAGAAAAGCCTGTCCCCTACCAGCATGCTGCAGAGTGAGACCCTTGCTCTCTGTGGGGAAGTGGCAATCTCTTTACAGAGGTTCTAATTGCAGGGCTATAGGTGCAGTCATGTTGATTTAAGTAGGGACCGGTTCTTAATGAACCAGCTAAAATTCACTGTATGGGTGCCGCTGTCTACCTGGCATCCCACGATCACCTGAAGGAGCAGGTCAGAAAATTCTCTTGAACGGAGCTAGCAGCCAATCAGCTGGGTATTCTGATACAATAGAAACAGCAGGGGATTCCTCCATCCACGCTCGTAAGCGTTGATGGAAAAACCTATTCTATTTGTTTCATTCAGCCTGTGGGTTGAACAAAAAATTGAAACTTGTATACCCGACTTTAGTTCTGAGATATAATGACTTACACTACTATGTGAAAACGATGAAGGCCCATTGCATTCATTTTACAGGGATTCTTTTACCTTTTTTAGTGATATATATGTTTCTATGGCATTTATCCAGGCTAACACGGGACCTTTGTCGTCTGTTGCACCTCGTCCATAAAGGTTTCCTTAAAATTATGTAAAATTCAGATGTTAGCTAATCATATATTAGTAAACCCATTTCCCAGAAACACACATTCTCTTTAGACTTTAAACTTTGACCACTATAAATGTTACTCCACCTCCAAGGCCGTCACATTGATGTATCAGTTCTCAAAGATGGGGACCAAATCTTGAGCTCTCTTTAACGATACTTTTTTATTCAGAAACTATATCGTATACTAACAGCAGTGCATAGACATAGTGACACGAAACAACATTTTGATGATACAAACCATTAACTTCTGTCAATGTGTATGGATCGGTTTTCCACCCATCTTCCTTTTTAGCAGGCTGGATATCCACATGTCCATAAAAACATACAGTGGCCTTTGCAGTGTCATTACCCAGTTCAGCCAAGATTGCTGGGGGGAATTTAATTATCTGTCCATCATGCATCTGCAGATTTAAATAAAAAAATCAGATTTATATTTCAGAAGTTAATTAATACAATGCTAATAAATGTATTGGGTGTGAAAATAATCTACTTAAAAACAACATGTACAGAGTCCGTGACAGAATGTGGAGGAAGCAAATACACAGCTTCTACATGTTGCAATCATCAGAAATGTCTTCTTCATAATGTGACATATTTTATCAGCTGCTGCCCAAACTATTCATTGGATGGGGGTATTTCTTCTCACTTCCTGTGTGACATCTGTCAAATAGGCAGCCATCTACCCAATGGGGCAAGGGGTTACTCATAATTGCTAGTATGCAATGCATTGTGTAATGGTTGCATGTGTCTTTATGTCAGCATATATTGCAGAAATGGACACTTTCTTGTAAACAGATCTGAATTAATGCAGATTATAATAAACCAAAAGGAGACAGCTCAGCTGTCTTGAGGTCTGAAAGTACTTCATTTAAATCTAATCATCTTCCACTAAAAGTATATCAAAATCCAAAATCAAAAGTTCATTATCTTTCACCGTACCAATTTTTAGAAGTATAAAAAAAGCAGTGCTCTTAATTTTAATCTCTGAATATGGACCGTGCCTTACAATCCACATGCAGCAGTGAGTTGATCACCGCCTCTGGAATTGTATATCTTGAAGTAAAGTCAGTATAATTTTATACTCTTTTGGTCACTTAACCAGAGCAATGTTCCGTAGTCAACCACAGCAAGGGTCAACTCTACCGTTGCCTCTATCTCTCCAACCCAGATTGGTCATCCACTCATTTCAGCACATCCATGATGAAAAAGAGACATAGAGATTCTCCAATAGTGCAGATCAATATTTTTTTTTCAAATCTAATAGAAACATTCAGATTATAGAAGGTACCAATGCAGGAAGTTTGGGCGTTCTATTTTAAACGTGTAAGCTCTGTCCTATGCCTTTTTTTTCCAAAAGGCTGTCATCAAGGATGTGCAGGCAGCATTAGCTTCCTTTTTTCAGATTTATATTCATTTATTTTCATCTGGCGATCCTGCCAGTAATGCACTTCCTGTCCTAGGCTGAAAACATTTACTCACTGCACTGTGTCTATGGAGGAGAAGCACTGTCACCCTAGTCTGATTTGGACAACCCACACCTCCCCTTTCTCTCCTTTACATAGAAGGGTGTTGAATTGTAGCTCACATCAGTAGCTGAGAAAACTGATAACATTGTTTGAGATTTCAGTTCAGTGCACAGGAAGTTACAAGAACACAAATGTTTGTGAAGGGATCAACAGGTGTTTTTCTGTACTTGCAGAAAATGTACTTAGACTTAAAAATTAAAATGAATGCAGTAAGGACTGGTAAGCTGCAATATATTACATTTTCATTCTTGGATTTAGATATATTTCAATATGTATAAGAAATAGATAAGGTGAATTTTTGTACATGTGTTCATAATTGATACCTACCGTTTCAAAGCCCATGTCAACTTGCTGTACTGTGGCTCCCAAAGTTTGAATCCTCCTAGCTGTAATCTCTACCATTCGGATTAATTCTCCACGTAGCTGAGGGTCACTGGAATCACTCGGAACAGCTATCCATTGTTTAAGCTCCTGCATTGAATAAATGATAAACATCTCACTATTACATGAAAGCCATAAGCATTGTTTGCAGAAATTTAAAACACTGCTAAATAAATTACTGGCAATACAGTCATATTACATCCTCACTGAACTCTATTAAGAGAGGTTCCAAAAAAAGAAAACCTGTATGAACAGTATTTTTTTACTGTCTACAATAAGCTTCAGATACAATATGTGTGACCATACAATGACTGCACATAGAGGTATTATGTTCATTATCCAAATCCATTGAAGGTCCTTTCCATAAACTAATGAAGGATACATTTACCACAGTTATTGTAAGCCAGTTTAGTTAAAATTAGGGATGCACCGATACAGAGTACCATACTCAGTAGTACATGTGCAGATACTTTTCGAGATCCAAGCTTAGACTAGAGAAAAATTCAAAAGTTAGGAGGCAGCTGTCATTTGTAAAAAGCACATGGAGCTCCTGGGATTTGTACATCTCTGTTTTAATGTATGATTTTGTTTTTATAAATATAAATAAAGGGATGCACCGATACCATTTTTGCAAGTACAAATACTGATACATTTCTGTTTATTATCATGACAGTTTTTCTAAAACAATACAGACTAATGATTTCAGGACAGTGGTGGAGCGCCAGAGCCAGGTCCCAGCTGCAACCCTGGTAGTTCACATGAAAATGCCAAGTATCGGCACTGGTATCTGAAAAGTATCGGTGCATCCCTAGTTAAAATGATAATGCTTTGTTCAAGCATCAGAGTGAGTGATAACTATAGTGATAGTAGCAATAAGTGCAAAATGTGTAAGGCCTCCAGGATTGGAAATGGTCCAGAGGACCGAGATAATAGTCTGTACTGATACAAATTTCCTCCTGGTGCGAGGAGGCTTTATGTGACTATTGCTGTTCAATTAAGTCTATTGTAAGCTGTAGTGGCCATTGCAAGTCTTTCCCAGTTCTATCAAATAGATATTGCCACTGGGCTATTACAGTAATGCCACTGCACCAAATGTGAGGATGTCACTGTACCATTTATAACATCATTGGGGATTCTGGACCATTCCTACTCCATGGTTTAACACATCCAAGATATGCTCAAGCTATTGAGATACTGGATTTGGAGTAACTACACATTATAACAGTAATAAGAAGGGCCTATAGTTGCTTTATGTTAATTAGAGTAAGGCAAGTTGTACAATCTAATAATTCAGATATCTGCAGGTTGATGCATACTCATCACAAGGACAATATTGGTAACTGTAGGCCCAGCACTAATTACAGCATTCATGACTTTCATTTTAGACTGGACTCATGGTCATCACAGATAAATTATCACTTTTGTAAACAGTGGTTAACATCCATTGACTACAACTTCAAATTGGTGCACCTGAAAATTCAATTGATCAACATTCTCCACATACCCTGATACTACTACTACTACCCTGATACTACTACTACTACTACTACTACTACTACTACTACTATGTACATACACTACTTCTATATACCCTACTACTACATCCTGACCCCACCAAGCATTCACATATATAAGGATATGAAATCAGTGCGTTATTATATTTATTTTAATGGAACTATGCCAAATTCTATCTACTTTCTGAAGATTTCAGTCAAAAGCCACACTAAGAGACACTAACAGGACCTGTGTTCTGGGCACTAGAGAAATATCATAGGCTGCTCAGACTATGCCTTGCAAGGCAAATAATTAGCAATATGAACTTAATTTTCTGCAATCATTGCATAACATTCTGTCCATTTTACTGCCATATATTGATTTCTCACTGGTTAAACTTTCACAAGGTAACATCCACCTGGAGAACACAGATCAATGTAACCACTATACCTAGCATCCATTGATTGAACAAGAAAAAGCTGGGTCCTGCCTTTCTAATAGATAACATTGGTTCTGTTTACCTGAACAAAGTCATCCTGATGAGTATCAATGTACTGAAAAAGATCTTCCACCAGTTTCTCAGATGCATCAGTTGTAAACGGCAGCATGATGAGCTGAACAATGAAGATCTACGAGAAAAACAAGATTCAGGAGAAAAACAGTTGAAATAAAATATGAATAGTACTGAACCTTTTCTTGTATTCTGTCTGGTATTTAGTGTTGCTCAGTGAAAGGTTTAGAACTTTGCTTTGTGTGCAATGATTATCAGCTCAAAACAGGCCTTTGTTCCACCGGGAGATGATTGCATAATGTCAATGTCCCCTTGAGGCTTACCACAGCTGCGCTAATATTGTGCAACTCATTATTATCTGAATAAGGGTGCTCCGTCTCACCTCTCACACTGTTGGGTCTCCTACTGTGCAAGACACACGCTGGTGTTTGATGGGCAAGTATCAATGCAAGATCTGTGAATGATTGATTCAAAATCATTAATTCCATATGTCCTCATAAGATATTTGACCCCTTACAATAGTAGCTGTTGTATACACTTCTTATCAAATTGTTTTGAGAACATTACAACTTTTTGGCATCTCTATTATTTGTATAAGGACATTACTAATTATTATATGCTAAATTCAATGATGGAATTTCTAATCTGCATAATCCATACATTTCTGCATGTCAAATTTAGAAGGAAAGCTGACCCCAGAACTGAAAAGACAGTCACATGTTAGCAAACAAGCTATCCACTGAAGGATCTTTTGTTCTCTCCAAATACACATAGATGTTTATATCCAAACACACATAGATGTTCATATCCTACAAGTGGGTATTTTATGTAAACTGTGCAAACTCCTACACTGCACCAATTTTGGAAGCACAATCATCTATGAGACAAGGGATGACATCCACAGGAGCTTATTTAAGAGTGTCCAATGAGGGTGGAGGTATCCCACTATCAGCTTGGCTATTGTCTTACCTATTCCTACCTACTGTCCCCGTTGGCTGAACGAGAGAAACCACTCAATTACCCCAACTATACTAAATGCCCACAGCTGTTTGAATACCCGAGCAATGTCTGTTCAGCCGACATGGCCACCCACAGCTTGAATATCATCCAATTCAGCAGGATTTCCGTGCACTTTTTAAGAGAAGCATTGTGTTGCTCCAGGTGAGTTCATGCTTGTCTGCTATAGCCAGGTGCTCGTCCAGCTTAGTACTGACAACCACTATTATTCTTTTATAAAATAATAACATATGAGACCTCTAACGTGTTTCACGCACACAGGCACTAAAGCTGGCCATACATTATATGAATTTCGTCCGGTTCTTGATAAACCCGACATTTGCACGGTGGGTCCTGCTGTCGGCACCATTTGGGTGGCATCCCTCAATCAGCTGATCAAAGGAGCCAGTCGGAAATCTTTGAACAAAAAGAGCCAGCAGCCAATGAGCTGCTGGGACTGTTCAGGTATTCTGACAGAAGCCACCGGCTGCTGTCAAAATTCAATGCAAACATCAGGAGGTTCCTCAATCAACGCTCGTACGTGTTGGAGGAATCTGTAATATTTTCTTCATATATTACAGTGTAGGGTCAGCTTTAGTCATAGAGTGTCTCCTACAATTTCTAAACCACAATTTATCTCACATAAACTCCACCCCATCCAATGGAGTTGTACATAAATCAGCTGTGGTTAATTATAATACAAACTTGCATGAGTTTAAAAACATCCAATGATAGCACTTCTTTATAATCCAAACATTGGAACAAATATTGAATAATCTGTCCAAAAATATACAATCATTTGTATGATAATTTCATGATTTATAAAATTTGTTGCAAGAAAATGAACAAAATATATTGTAAAATATACAACCCTCGGGGGTCATTCACACCACATGTGGCCACCCACGTTTTCTGCACTGCATCAAATCAGGTCACCACTAGAGTACACAGAAAACCATTGTACTCCATGACCCATCAATGCATACAAAAACGTACATTGACATGCACATCAACATTGATGTGCGTTGGGGTGCATTGATGTGCTCAAACTCATGGAAGTTTGAGTTCTAATTAACCACAGCTGATTACAACCCCATTGGATGGGGTGAGGTTTTTGTGCGATGAATTGTGGTTTAGAAATTGTAAGATACACTAATCGCCTGTGTGTGGGAAACACATCAGAAGTCTCAATGCAGCTTGTGTGTTATGCTCTTATAAAAGAATAAAGAAAGAGTTTAGACATAGCTGGAGTGTGGTCATTTGTTTTCCTGTAAAGTATTTTGCACTTCTTCTTGTGCCTTTGGAATGATGCTTGTTTACATACAAGTGTATAGAGCTGCCCGATCGCACGCATGCTGTCTGCATGTGTGCACCCTCCCCTCCGCCGCCGGCTATCCCGGGCTGCGCCGTGCGGGCCCAGGACTGGCGCGGTGGCTCTGTGAACAGAGATTGGAGGGAGATCAGCACACAATCTCCCAATGATCTCCCCTCTGGTCTCTGAATGTGGTGGAAGTGATATGTATTATATTACTTCCGCCTTCAGCTGTCAATTCTCCAGCTTCTGTAGCCGGAGAGAAGCTGGTGAAACATTTCTCTGCTTTATTGGCTTCTTTGGGGGCCCCTAGGTGACATTAGGGGTCTTTAAGTCCCCTGATATCTCCATAAAGAGCATCTATGACTGTAAATTTTCTATCACATGGGGGCTTCTTAGCCTCCTATGTGATAGCAATAAAGTTAAGTGTAGAAAAAAAGTTTTAAAAATTAGTTACATAAATAAGTCACATATAAAAAAAATTTAGAAGACACACAAAAAGTTTAAAGTCCCCCACCCCACATACAAATGCAAACATGCATCAGGTACGCACACCTATATGCAGCACATGTTACATATCACCGCAAAAGTCGAAGTGTGAGCAATATGGGAGCTCAATCACTGATAACCCTAAACTGATGAGCGGTAAAAATGGCCAATTTCATATTTTACCAAAAGATTGGGTAATAATAAATGTTTCATAACAGAACGTAGCAGGGAAAAAAATTATCCTAATTTTCAGTATTATTTTCTTTATATAGTAAAAAATTAAACCCCCCAGTGGTGATTAAATACCACCAAAAGAAAGCTCTATCTGTCCCCAAAAATTATATAAAATGTATTTTGGCACGGCGTTGCATGACTGAATAAATGTCAAAGTACCGCAGCTCTGAAAATGGCCTGGACAGGAAGGGGGTTAACACCCCAGTCAGCAAGTGGTTAGGTAATAATCTTTTTTGTATGATAAAATTTCTGCTGCATTACACTGTTACATGCCAATACCAGTCATAATGATTTACATCAGCTAAAAATAAATGTGCCAATTTTAGGCAGAAGATACCTTCTTGCAGAAAGATCTCTGGGGAGGAATAAGCTTACAATTCCAGTACTGCTGGGCAAGAAGTATGACCACATAATCACTGTGCCCCATATGAAGTGCAGTGATCGGTATCAACTTTAGTACGCACAGAAGTACATTTGGAGTTTGCTTAAGATTAGGAGTTCTGTGATGGCAGGAATTAGGCTGATATAAAATGTTGAGATAGCGCTATGGTAGTGGTTCAGCCAGTAAATGAAAGTATCTGTATGCAGCAGGGCTAATAATATAAGCTCAAAAAACATGAATAGCAGCATTTAGTAAAAAAAATAAAAATAAAATACTTTATATTTTGCCTGCCAATGGCAGAATACAATACGCTCAGTGGGAGATTAGTCCATTAATGCTGTTTAATGTGGATAGAAGAATATGATTTTTTTTTCAGCCCGCAGGTTGAAAAAAAAAAATAACATTGTATGGCCAGCTTTAGACTGCACTACTGCACGAATGACAACTGCAACCACTGCAAGTAGCTCAGGGCTCTATAATACACAAAATTCAAAGTGGCTTGTAGAATGAGTCACAAGGACCCATGACAGAGTATATTAGAAATGTCAGCAAAACTTTATGGTGAATAATACAGAAACATCTGCTTATACTGTAAGTTACAACCAAATCTTACCAGCTTCTGATACGCGCTTCCTGTACCTTTAAATAGCAGCAAATATCTGCCACTGTTCAAGTTTAACCTGATTGAAGTCTATGAATAAGTGATAAATTAAGAAGCTAAAAATTAACTTGACCCAAGGCACCCAACAATCTTCTCCACAGTATAATCACTTTAATTAGGTAGAACATGTATTGCAATACATGAGAACCATGAATTCCTGTCTGTAAGGTAACTAGGTCTACTGCGCATGTGTGTGGTCCCGTTTTTCATACCATGGCGAAACGGCACCTGCGCGCATCGAGACGTACGTGCACAGGCGCGCTAATCTGGTGCACATGCTCGCTAATCTGGCGCACGGGAAGTGATGCAGTACCTCTGAATGGGTCTCCCTATTTAAAGCAAGCACAGCCTGGGCTTAATTGCTGGATGGTCTTTCAGCTGTTCCCTGTGATCCTGTTTGCTCTGCCTGTTTACTGCTCCTGTATTTGGACCCAATCAAACCTGACTGCTCCTATTTGCTGCCTGCCTTTTGATCTTGGAATTGTTACTGGACCTTGCCTCTGCCTCATCCCTTGTACTTCACTGCCCGACTGGTGTGACCCCTGGCTTGTCTGACCTCGATTCTGCCTACTGCTATGCTACCCTGCTGTCCGCCTGGTGCGACCTTGGCTCTGCTCTACCTGATCCTGATTCAGGACTTCTGCCTGGCACAGTGTTGCCCCATTCACTGGCACCAGTGCTACTTGCTGTTTCTCAGTCTCTGTTCCCATCCTGCCGGTGACTGGCATTCCATCCTGCCGCAACTTTCCACTAAGCAGGACTTGGACTCCATTGTCGACAAAATCGTGAGTGCTCTGCGGCAGGAAGTCCATTGAGCTGGATCGTGTGCATTGGGTGCAGGTCGTCCGGGGCCCATTTACTGCTGCTCCGCATGATGCTCTCTGCGCGTTCACTTCTTCACTATCAAAGAAGAGATCCTGCAACAGGCCTGGTCTAAGGGGCCTATGGAATTCGACGGTGCTCAAGTGATCGAGATGCCGGACCTTTTACGCCATACCCTACATATGCACAGAGTGTTGTGGCTTTTGTTGGATGTTATCAGAG